TAGTCTGCTCAGCGGACTCAGCATCCGCTACCTCTTCAGCCAACCGAGCCAGCCAACGAATATCTGCTTCCAGATCATCCTGAACCTAAATATAGAATAACAAGGAATGCAGAATTTGGAGAAAGTAGCAATGCTCATTCGTTGATTTACGAAAGTATTTATCAATTTATTTTATTCTTCTTTTTTTAGTGATAGAGTAAGAGATTCATTTCTGAATTCATTTAAGCAATGTCTTAATAAGGGAAAAAAGAAGTCGAATATAGAGCTCTAAAACGAAATGGTAAATTTGGATACATTTGATAGTTTACCTTCAATCAATCCATATAGTTTTTCAAAGTGACATATTATATTATTGTTGGAGTACTTTTTATTTCGCTTGAAGGGGAATTGCTTCAAAGCTGTGATTATATATTTGTGCGAATAGGTCCTCAGCGCACCGCCCTGCGACTCCGATGAATATTTGCTGAGCTTTCGTCAGTCAAGCGAAGGACATGGTTATAGCAGGACACCATGCATTATAATAATTCACCAAAACGCGAAGTTAAGACAGGCAGCTGGCCGTAATCCCACTTACTTCTTTTAGCCCAACTTTGTATCATGGCTTGACTGGTTATCCTGTCACTTTCATACATGCTTGTTGAAAAGGAAAGTGGCTTAAGATTGAGCATGAAACAGTGGGATTAAACCGGTTACCATTCTTGCCTTCGTGCTTCGGTGAATGATTATAAAGCAAGATGTCCTGCTCCGACGATGCCCCTCACACGACGCACGAATCGTCAGCAAGGATTTATCGGGGTCGCAGGGAAAATCGCTGGGGAAATCCCTCTTCAACTTCAAGTAAGGCCTTCTTACGAATCCCTTACACTCGCCTCTTCAAACCAGATCGGAGGTATTCAAACAAAAAGCTATCATGGGATTCTTCAGAACCCAGTTTTCTACGCCTATATTCTATTGTTTTTCTAACAAGTTTAGATTCATCCTGCATCGCATATTGCTCACTGATGGCTCTGTAGGCCAGAAAGGGAAATTCATTGTGCTAGAATACGCAAACATTTCAAGCGAAGAGCTTGCTAGGAGGCCCTTTACAACTGAATGCCCGATCGTATAGCAATCTGATCGTTCGTAGGCGATTAAACTGGTGTCAGGCTTGAGCATACTTAAATCTTGGAAGGCACTTTATTTATTACATCTTAAAAAGGCTCGTATTAGCAAAGCCACATGCCCTGAGGTGCTTTACGTAATGAAATGTAGCAATCAATTCCATATTACACAAGGACAACCGATATATAAAAGGGCCTTGCTATGTTCATCTCCGCTAGTACATTCTTAGGTTGTCCCTTTGGTGCTTACTCTCTGAAAATTTGCCTATTGTCTCTGGTAGGTATGTAGGTTTAGCGATTTAATGACTGATAGTTTGACCTCATAAGATAAAAACTTATGGCTTTGATATGCCAATATAATTTAACTTAGCTTTTATGAATTGGACTCCTGTATTGTGAAATTAGGATGAATAAATTATACTCATTCATCTAAATCTTCGGAATGAGTCATAGCAACCGGCCAGTGATATTGTCAAGGTTACAGCAAATAAACATATAGTGACTACTATCGTGGCCAGTCCAAAAAAAGCTTCAGCAGGCTTCACAAATAGATGCAGAGAATCTTTTCGATGGACTTGTGATAAGTTATTTTGTATCACTGTGACAAAGTGACAATAACGGAATTCCTTTAGATCAACATATAATTATAAAGACGGGCTTTCTCGGCCAAAGTTAAGTTTACTGAACTAAATGTTAGATAATTTAAACTATCTCCTTCAGCAATATTTATATTTAGCTCAGATATTTGCGAAACTACACAAATATTCCAGATCCGATTGACCAAACCAATAGGTCCATAGCTAAAGAGCAAGATATCGGTGGCTAACTTATTCTGCATTGAAATCTCAGCTAACATAAGTTCGAATATAGATAAAGTTGTATTCATTTGACGTTGTGAATAAAATATCTAGAAGATAATGATTATGGTGGAGACTTACGAGAAAATGAAGTCAAGTTACGATGCCTCTCTTATTTAATAAACCTTGCCTCCCAAGAGGCTAGGTGAAATACAATGGCATTCTGGGGCCTACTCATCTCATTCTTGGAAAACTCAGCTATCACCCATAAACGATCTAGGATGAATGATTTCCTATTCGAGAATTACTGAGTCTCGAAACCTACTTATACCAAAAATAGGTAACGTCGTTGATAGCAAATACATGTTTTGTTTATCAACAGTCCCAATATGCAAAGATATGAAGACCAAGATGGTGTGGCCTTTTGTATGGTCACAGTCCCAATATAAATGTGATTTTGGAGAGGTATGGCTTGATTAGATGTCAAATCTGCCTTATGACTAACTGGCACCCGCGACTGTGTAGTGTAGTGGTAACACGACCAAGATTCTCACGATTCGATATAGAATACCGCTAGGGGTGCTGATGAAAC